ACCTAGTTATCCTTCTCTGGACTGCCTGAAATGGCAATATATCATTCCTTAGCTAAATGGCCCAAAACCCTTACAATATTATAATAATATACAATGTTGGAGGTATCATAGGTATTGTAGGAGAGGTCTCAGTCTTTGCCTGCAAGGACAAGATTGTCTCCTCGTAGGTGCCGAGGAGTCAAACGTAAGGCATTACTCCACCCGTCCAGGCCCTTTGGGACCTATTGTGCGTTCGCCATTAGAGAAAGGGAGGGATTGTGGGAGATGAAAATGGGTGGCATGGCCTTAATGCTGGTACATTAAATGATGATGAGATGTCTGAATGAGTGAGTAGCCAGTAGAGAGACCTGCAGCCTTCTGGCAAGAATTCCTTCATAAATATAATCAAGTTACACTTAGCCAAAAATCTACTTGTGTCGGGGGTTTGGAGCAAGTGAGGGAAGCAATAGTGATAGTGGCAATATATTCATGGGAGGTGTGTGCAGTATCAGAGAGAGAGTGTGAGGCAACAAAGAGAAATGTGTTGTATGAATCCTGGTGGAACGGAGAAAGTCATTGACCATTTTATGGCAGGGCTGGTCATTGGTCTTCATTGTCAAGGTGGCGCTGACCCTGGTGGCAATCTTGAACCATGCTGGTGGCACAATCTCCTCTGTCGGTCCTCTGGGAGGAGGACTTCTCTCCTTTGCAGAACTGCTTGGTCAGAACTTCCAGGACCCTATCAAAGAATCGCAATGCCTTCTTCCTCTTCTTTGACATGTTCAGACTCAGTCCTTGACTGATCAGGTCAGCTTCAGAATGCACGTGCTCGTCCATTTGCACACCAGCCTTTTAAATATGCAGCGGGTGCCAGAGACATTGGTCTTCCATTGGATATCTACTGAGTGTTTTGGGAACAGCGTCCAGCAATAGGGGATAGAATCAGATGTGAGGGCTCCAAGAGGCAGGGTAGATCATTAATGTGTTTGGTAAGATACAGCAAGAAATCTTGCTGAGCCTTCTGGCAAGAATTCCTTCAAAAAATGATGCAACTTACACTTAGCCAAAAATCGTAAGATTTAGCCATAAGGTTCAGCTTTTGACCCTACATCAGAGTTCTGATGAAAGCTCATTGATTTGAAATGTTGAGCTTAATTTTACCATGGACTTCATGGCCCTAATACAAGGCCAAAAGTCAATCCTCAGGCTACCTCTTGACAGCAGCAGAACCAGTTCAAAATTTTAACTACCAGATTGGCAATCTCTGGGTTTTCCTACCAATTAAAACATAATTGGATGGTTAATTATGTAAATAAGTACCTGCCTCTGTGAAATCGGTAGTTAAACAACCTCACAGTCTATCTACTCTCCAGCAGAAAACATACCTGGTAGCTGCACAGTAATGGGAGGTTGTTCAGACACATCAGCCTTCTAGTTTACTGGCTCCTGATGTCTCCACTTCAACTACCTACAGACTAGTTAAATTCATATATTAACCCTGTTTCTAGTTCCTGGGCAGCTGACTGTTCTCATCATTTTCTATTTTTATTCTGGTATTTACACTATTTTGCCTTTGCCTTTAATGGTTTTAATATAGTGGTTGTTAGGCTATGAGTTTAATCTGGATTCAATGCAATATAAATGAAGCAGCCACTAACCTGAAATTCTGTGTCTTGAGTTTACAATTTCCAACAAAATAACAGAGACAGAAACTTGGGTGAGACCTGGTTACTGGATAAAACCAGGACAAACCCAATATATTTTCACTGGCCATTAATTTCCAGTGGGATGGAGACTGAGAATGAATGTAAGTCTGATTTGCAGGCTTTCCCTGGGGAAATATAATCAAGTTTGGAGAGCATCCATTCTAACCTCCAGTATTATAAATATTTCTTTTACCTGCAGATTTTGAAGAGTCTGAAAAAGCCACTTCCTTTATTTTGTGAATAATGGTGACTCCAAAATTCACAATACTGAATATAAAGATATTATTTCATAAATAATTGCTTTAAAGTTGTCCAGTATATAAGAGTATGTTTGATCCAGCAAGCCTTAATATTATTGTAGATGCACATAAATAAAGGCTTTTTCAGAATGCCTTCCTGCATATATGTTTAACGGATAATTCACATTTCTCCTATATGTGTAGTATATAATGATAATCATTTTGACAGTTATGCACAAGCTGAAGCACTGTAACATATAGTTTTACACATTTCAATCAGCTTTTGAGATCACAGAATAATTAAGCTAACATTCTGTTAAGTATGTGGGGAAGAGAGTTAAATCCATACTGACAAGTTGCTTGTGGCAGTATAGTAAGGGTAATTGATTGCTGATCTAAGGCCTAATGTGCAATGACAACTGAATGGATTAATTTATACACTATTTCATTTTTACTGCAGTCTCCTGTTAAGAGCTAATAGTGTATCTGTTGTTTATTATTATGGCTACAATTTCCCAAACTCCCAAATATCTGCCTCAGTTCAGTTCAGCTGGAAATTACGGGGCTTTAAACAAGATTTGACAGACTTGGTGTGAAGGGGAGAAGAGTTATAATGAGAGTCAGCCTATCTTTCATCACATCTTAGGAACCAAAATCATGCAGTTTTTAGAATTCTGGCAGCAGGTTTCTCAGCAGTTTTTCAGTCTGGAGATGTGGCTGTAAGCAATGGAAAAAAGAAAAGATTTAAACAAGAAAAATGTTCACTTGTTTTCTGATCTTAAATAAATATAATTGAAAAAGCATGAGATTTTAACGGTATAACTTAGGGGCTTAAACAAAACTGTTTTCATAAAGAGATAACAAGGTGTGGAGCTGGCTGAACACAGCAGGCCAGGCAGCATCAGAGGAGCAGGAAAGTTGACATTTCAGGTCTGGACCCTTCTTCAGAAAAAATGTTCAGACCCAAAACATCAGCTTTCCTGCTCGTCTGATGCTGCCTGGCCTGCTGTGTTCATTCATCCAGCTCCACACCTTGTTATCTCAGACTCCAGCATCGGCAGTTCTGACTATCTCTCACTGTTTTCATAAAGCTTGCTTTCAATTTTGATTAGAAACTTTTAATAAAGTAACAGTTTTCTGGGTAGGATAAAGAAATCTGGAGTTAGAAAACATCATAAGATTTTTTGCTGAACACTGACCTGATGTTAGATGTTCAAGTTATATTCCTCTCCTATGAGTGAAAAAAAATGGAAATATGTTGAAGTGACTCTCCTGTTCATGCTGGAACCACCATTTTGATACATACTAAATGAGTCACACCAGTATGTCTCACTTCTCAGTTTTACTGGCTTTCCCCTGGGGCTTTCACAAGATTATAGGACATATGGAATCAGAAACATACTTCCTGGCTGAAGAAGGATTTAGGCCCGAAACGTCAGCCTTCCTGCTCCTCTGATGCTGCTTGGCCTGCTGTGTTCATCCAGCGCTACACCTTGTTATCTCATACTTCCTGGCTGTTTCTTTTTCTTTTTAAAAGAGTGAAAATGGCCTCTTTTTAAGTATTTTCATTGCATTATCCTTTCTTTAATTTTCCTGCGTTATGCGCCACCTTCACTTGATGTGGTGATATCCTGCTTTCAAACTTTTTAATGCCTTTCTGAAGCCAGGAACTGAGAAATGCATAGAAGTTGAAAGGTACACTTTTCTGTGTTGTTTTCCTTCTTTCCTGGTTAGACAGAATAATGCCTCTGCTTAGTATTTCCTTCAACATTACTGTGAAAAACTAATAACATAAAACTATTGTATATTGCAGCTTTTAAGTGCTGCAGTACTTTATCAGTCAGCCTTGGAAGTCATTTACTTTTTCAGAATTGTCTTCCAAACTAGCAAAAGTACTGTTTGTAAAGTTTCACACTTCCTGCCATCTTTGCAATTTCCTTTCTATATTGGTAAAGTGGATACTTCAGCCTATTAATGGGAACAAAAACCTATCCTTAAGAATGAAAGCCTTTTAGCCACTTTAAAGAAGAAGGAGAGTCAAGGTGAGTGAAATAACTACAAAGGCTGGTATCCCATCACCAAGTCACACTTTATTCACATGTGGAGAGTCCTTGACACTGATCCAGCTTCCTCAGAGCCAGCTCTGAGTGAACAGGATGTCTGACATTCCTGTTCTTGTCTGTCAGCCAGGGCTCCCTGATTGGACCAGATTACCAGCCCCAATCAGGGAACTCATATTCTATCAGAGATAGTAAGAACTGCAGATGCTGGAGTCAGAGATAGCACAGAGTGGAGCTGAAGGAACACAGCAGGCCAGGCAGCATCAGGGGAGCAGGAAAGTTGACGTTTCAGATCAGGACAAGATTTTTCTGAAGAACGGTCCCAACCCAAAACGTCAACTCATATTCTATGTCCAGCTGGTTTATCTCGTTACAATCGCTACAGTGAGCATATCTTACGTGTAATTGAAAAGTTAACCTTGAAATTTTACTAATGTCAAATATTTACTCAGAAACATGTCAGGGGCATTTTTGTTGTGAAGCTGCTCTGTGTTGGCAATGAGTAAGTAAAGACCCAAGAAATTTGAATGAAGTGGCAGCTGCATAATTTTGGATGAAGAGCAAATTCACAGCCATCTAACCTTGGAAAAGCATACAACAAGCTGAATATGCAGAACACTGAGGCAAATGGCATATCTTTTGAGGGTTAGGAGATTAGACCATAAGACATTGGAGCAGAAGTAAGCCACTCAACCCACGGAGTCTGCTCTGCCATTCAATTATATTATGGCTGATATTCTGATAATCCGCTGATAATTCTAGTTATGCTCCAAACTTTTCAAGGTCACATTGGCTCCTGCCTATTCTTACCTGCAGTACTAGTTAACTGGGATATTATAAAGATTTCAGCATACTTAACAACAGATGACAATTTTGTCTGAAGCTAGACAGCCATTTGCTGAACATGTTCCATTTTCAGGATTCCATGTTATTGGTACAAAAGAAATCAAAGGACATATTACATATCAATCACTCCACATTCCATCATCTTGAAGTTTGCTATACAAATATTTCAGATTCTGATGAGGAGAGCAATGAGAAAGGAAGACAATCACCAGTTCCTGAGATCCACCTCCGAGACTATCAGCAAGAAGTTGCGGCTCCAGCGTTGGAGGGTAAAAATCTCATTATCTGCCTGCCCACAGGAAGTGGAAAGACCAGGGTTGCAGTCTACATTACCAGACACCATCTGGACAAAATGAAGTTACAGGGAAAAACAGGGAAGGTTGTAGTGCTTGTTAACAAGGTAATTCACTGTTACTTTGTGTGTAGGTATACTGCAGCTATTGTAGTATTTTAAATTTTGTGTCTACATTCACAGTTGAGAGTTATATTCCTGAGATTACACCAAGTGAGGAAATTGAATCTCTGTAGACACACCGAATCTGACAATCAAATATCTTTTTAAATTGGAGGCCCACAGAGGATTCCATAAACTCATTTTTATGATTGAAATTTTTTGCAACAGTGCAAATCAGAAATGACGTGAGACCATCTCCTCCTAAGTAGTTGTATTGAACTACTTGTCTGTAATTGAGATCTGTGGGATATAAAGTATAGCCAGCAAGTCCAGAGCAATGACTTGTAGCCTTTTTGGCAAGGAAGAACTACACATATATCCTAACAGATCTTTAAACATCCTAAATTCCAGGTACACACAATCTACTTTTCAAAATCTGCAACATAATCTGCAGATATAATCAGAGATTTGATTAGATAATTCAGTGTTAATTAGCAAAACAAGCATACACAGGATTTGTCTTTCTTCGTATGACTGCAACACATGCACACAAATGAGTTTGTCTCTGATCAACAAAATCCTGATGTATTTACTTCTTTCACCATTGCAATGTCCTGGCAATTGACATTAGAGAGAAAGAAAGACAAATACTGTTATCAGGAGGAAAACAAAATTCTTTTGGGGAAAGTAAATACAGATTAAAGGGAGAGATGTTGAAATGGAAATGATGAGATAAGTTCCTTGGGCACCAGTTTTAGGAGGGCGAAAGAGAGATATATTCTTAAGTATAATGATGAGTACAATAAGGTTCTGCTTGAAAGGGAAGAAGAGGAAACGGCGAGATGTTGAACAAGAGGGAAATAA